GGATTTTCTTTTGGGATCTGGGCAGAGACGTGGCTGCCAACTTTTGTTGGGGCGGGGGGGTGTGGTTTGGGGGTACGGATGCAGAGATGGATGCACAAGAGAACAGAATTAGAGCGAGAAAGAGATTGAAGAGGTTTCAGAGCTGGCAGAGGTTAAAAATAAAGGAACAAGTGAGACAGTGAAGAGATCTGACATGAGATTGAGATTTTTAAAACTTTAATACTTCCAAAAAGCAATGTAGATCAATATGGACAAAATGGTGGGTAAATGAGATGATGTGGGTTTGAAAATGGGCAGCAGAATTTTGGATGAGTTGAAGTTTAAAGTAGCTGATACAACTTATTGTGGAGATGTGGGAGCTAGAAGATTTGTATGAGGGAGAACAAACAACGTAAGGAATCATTATCATATAATCAATTAATCATGGCTGATCTGACTGTGATATTAACTCCATTTTCGTGGCTGCCTACTATAATGTTGGTCTCACTTATAGATGATAAATCTGTCTAACATAACCTTGAATTATTCAATGACTACTCTCTGGGGAAGAGAAATCCAGTCACTCATGCCCATAGAGAGAAGGAATTCCTCCTCAACATAATCTTCAGTAGGTGGCCTAGTATTTTGAAACTGTGCCCCCTCGTGATTCCTCCACTGGAGAAAAAAAAACTGAGCATCTATCCTGTTAGGGCCCTCAGAATCTTATGTATCAATATGGTCAATACTATTCAATCTATTTACTCACAACAAGTATAGGCCCAACCTACTCAACCATTCCTCAAAGAATGGCTGTAAGAACACTGCTTCATTCCAAGAATTAGCTTGGTGAACATTTTCAGCACTGCTGCCAGTGCAAAAGTATATTCATCCTTAAGAAGAATAAAACTGTCCATGGTATTCAATGTGCAGTCTCATCAAGTCTCTGTACCATTGTAGCAAGACTTCCAGTATTTTATATCTCAATATATCTCAAAAACTAATGAGCAGATTTCAACAAAACGCAGAAAAGAGAAGATTAAGGCCTTAGGAGGAACTGATTTATTTTTGGTGAAAATGTGGATCCAGAGATATTACATATACTTAAGGATCTGCAAATATTGAGATGGGGAGATTATTGAGAGTTGTTTATTTAGAATGTTGTCAATTGTTTTAGAAAGTTATGGAATTGTCTCAGCTGCTTACTGGAATTTATCACAGCTGTCAAAAATATGAACAGGGTTTTCAAAGCAGGTTGTTGGATGTGAATTGGCCCGAAGCCTGTGCAATGAGATGGAATATATTAATAAAAGAATTCCTTTTCTCAGCTTTGTGGTTATATAATATCAATCAGGCAGGAAAAGTCCTAAAAGGACTAGACCAGGTGAATGCAGGAAGCATGTTCCTAATGACCAGGGAGTCCAGAACCTGGGGTCACAGTTTAAGGATGCAGGGTAGGCCATTTAGAATTGAAATAATGAAAAATTTCTTCACCCAGAGAGTGGCGAGTCTGAGAATTCTTTGTCACAGAAAGCGGTTTCAAAAGGAGATTGATATAATCCTTAGAGCTAAGGAAATCAAATGATATGGGGAGAAAGTGGGAACAGAGTACTCAGTATGATGATCTGCCATGATCATAGCGAATAGTGGAACAGGTTCAAATGGCTGAATAGGAACAGGAGTGAGCCATTTTTGATGTTTCTAATACCAGTGATGGTAAACTGAATTCCTTAGTGGGTATCAATTGCCAATTTAATGACCTTACTTGCAGGTAGGGCAAAAATACTTTCGATAGGGTAGAGATTAGAAAGAAAGACACTTATTAAAAGCTTTAGGATGTAGATAATCAATTCAATGGATTTGTCATCTTTTAATCCCATTAGTTTCCTAAGTACTTTTCTCTCTAATGATCATGATTGTTCTAATTTTTTCTCTCTCTCCATTCCCTCTCGATTTTATACCATTCCTGGTCTTTTTTCCATGTTTGCTACTGTGAAGAGAGGTGCAAAGTATTTGTTTCAAGTCTCTGCCATTACCTTCTCTTCCATTATTAATTCTTAAATCTCTCTTCAGGGGACCAATACTCACTTTAGCTACTCTTTTTCTTTTCATATATTTGTAGAAGCTTTTACTATCAGTTCTTATATTTCTTGTTAATTTCTTGCATACTCTACTTTTTTCCCAGCCTATTAGGTACATTCACAGTATTGTGCGCTTTTTCTTTCAATTTGATACCATCCTTAACTTGTTTAGTAATCCACAGATTGTGCACCCTTTCAGTAAAGTCCTTCTTCTTCAATGGAATATATCTTTGTTGAGAATTGTGAAATATCTCCTTAAATTCTACCATTGCTTCTCTATCATAAATTTTAACCAATTTTTCCCAGCCTACTTTAACCAATTGTCTTTATATCCAGGTAACTGCCTTTACAGTATTTATGTTTAAGCATTAACTTGGGCACATATTTCTCACTCTCATAACTGAATGTTAAAATTTTAAAAATGGGATGTGGACATTGCCCATCCCTAACTGCTCCTGTAAAGGCAGCAGTGTGCTGCCTTCTTGAACTATAGGTAGATCCACAATGCTGTTAGGAAGGGAGTTCTGGGATTTTGATCCAAAAACAAGGAATTGTGATAAAGTTCACTATAATGTATGGCTTGAAGGGGTACTTGCAGGACAGCATGCCAGAAGCAACACTGGGCATATTTAAAACCATGCTGTCAACTTGGTGAAGCTAACAGAATGGACTATTTGCATTCCAAACAATGAAAACAATATGAAATAGTAAGAGGTCCCACAACCAATGGATCAGGTTGAGAGGTCTGCAGACCTCTCTTGTCCAGTTGTGAATGGTGGTGGACAACTGAACTAGCAACAGGAGGGCAAGGATCCACAAATATTTGCATCCTCATCAGCAGCAGTACCCAGTATGAGCGGAGAAAAAAAGGCAGAACTATTTGCATACACTGTCTTCAGCCAATTCAGTTCAGTTGACATGATATCAAAAAATGGCTGAACACACTGCTTATTGCAAAGGCTGTGGACCCAGACAACATTCTGCCAAATATATTAAAGACTTCTGCTCCAGAACTTTCTGCATCCCTAGCCAAGCCATTCCAGCACAGATACAACAGTGGCATTTGCGCAACAATGTGAAAAATTGCCTAGGTATGGCCCATTCACAAAAAGCAGGACAATCCAAACTGATCAAATAATGTCTTACAAGTCTACTCTCCATCAATTGTAAAGTAATAAATAGGTTCTAGACAGCGCTATCAAGTCACAGAATCATAGAATTGTTATGGAGCATTCAGCCTATTGCCTTTCCCTCAAACTCTGCATATGGATATTTAAATGATCATCCAGTGCTCTCTTCTATTAATCCTGCCAGTACACTCACTATTCCAAATACCACTTGCCTTTTTCTCCCCCAACCCACCATGCATTTCATTTCTTAGCAAAACACTTTAAAACTCAGTTTCTCAATTCATTTATGATTGGGAATAATTTCTTTTCCAGCAATAACCTGCTTACTGACACGCAGTTTAGGTTTTGCCAGGTTTTATCCTGACCATATTAAAGTCTTAATCACACATCTCAGCTCCACAGACATTACCTACAGGAGTTTCTCGGGGTAATGTCCTAGGCCCAACCATCTTCAGCTGCTTCATCAATGACCTTTCCTGTTTCATAGGATCAGAAGTGGGGATGCGCACTGATGATTGCACAATGTCCAACACCATTCACATATCCTCAGATACTGAAACATTCCTTGTCCTGAGCAAGGCCAGACATGGACAATACCCAGGCTTGGCCTGATAGGTGGCAAGTAACATTTGTACCATAAAATGCCAGACTTAGATCATATTCAACAAGAGACAATCTAACCATCACCCTTTGACATTCAAATGGCATTTCCCTCACTGAATCCCTTATTATCAACATCTTGGGGTTAATATTGACCAGAAATTGAACTTAATCAGCCATAACATACAGTGGCTGTAAAAGCAGGTCAGAAACTAAGTATTGTGGCAAGTAACTCCCCTCCTGCCTGTCCAACATCTCACAATGCATAATCTACTTTACTGAATGGGTGCAGCTCCAACATAATTCAAGAAGTTTTAACACCATCCAGGGCAATGCTCGATTAGCACGCAATCCACCACCTTCAACATTCATTCTCTTCACCACCATCATGCATTGGCAGCAATGTGAACCATCTACAAGATGCACTGTAGTAGGTCCTTAAACAAGATCCTTAAACCCATGACCACCACCATCTAGAAGGGCAAGGGCAGTAGATGCCTAGGAATCACATTAGCTGAAAATTCTCCTTCAATCCATACACTATCCAGCTTGGAATTTACTTGCTGCTATTTCATTGTTGGTAGATCAAAATCCAGAAGTCCCTTCCCAACTTCATTGTGAGTGTCCCTACAACACATGGACTGAAGTTATTCCAGAATGTAGCTCATCAACACCTTCTCAACACAGTTAGAGAGATGAATAAAGAATGCTACTGTAGCAGGGGCATCCACATCCCATGAACAAATTTTTAAAAGCCTCAGAATATCATTGTTGCAGTGATTAGGTGAATGGAAGGAGGCTCTCATGTTATATTTTCTTATCAGAACAAGAAAAAAACCATTAGAACTTCACAAGCGCATTCACATCTCCTTGTACTCAGTCCTCCAAGAGAAGAAAATGAAGGGACACAGTTCAAGAAAATCTTTGTGGAATTTTCCCTGACCACTCCTAAGTGCCCAGGGAAATTGTGTCATGTTGGCTAAATTAGGAATGACAATGCTACACCCTCAGAGTGAGTTGTGTCCACTTCATGGTCTAGGTAATTATGTAAATTATAGGGAAACCTGGAGTTGGGGTGGTGGTGGTGGTGGTGATGTTAAGGAAGCTGGCAGAGAACCCAGCTGAAGTATTTTGTGCTGAATGTAACTCCTAAAGTGACGGCTGTTTCCTCATTTTCTAATCTTTATGAATGTCTCTTATACTTTCAAGTGACTATAAGGAGTGCACGAGACTTCATGGGCTTCTTGATGCAGGCTCGCCGAGTGGTTGATGATCAAGTGGCTGGAACATTCATTCTCATTTCCTCTGGATCTAAACTACTGAAGTGCTCTGAAGATGGGGACACCGTGACCCACTCAGACAAATCACTGAAGAGAAACCTCTCCTTCATTTGGAAAGCACCAGAGCAACTCACTGGCGACATCAAGTTTTTGTAATTATTACCTATGACTTTAAAATACTGATGGCAAAAAGTATAACATTCAAAACTATTAAAGGAAATGGGAAAGTAGAGGCATTTTGGTTTTGCTGGTGGCATCAATTAGAATACAACGACATCTTCCTTTCATTCTGAAATATGTCCAACCAAATTGTAATTTAGTTAGGAGTCTCTCTAGGATGATGTAGTATTAAAAACTCTGAACTATTCCAGAATGATACCTGTCCAGGTCTTAGCTTCAATTCGCATCCGTTTATACCTGCTCAGTTTCTGAGTTTGGCCCTGCTTAAGATCTCCTTGTCTACTATGTGCCAAATTCAGGCATGTACATGAAAAATAGAGGGCTTGACTCCAGTAAAGGAATTTTGAGTAAAGTTGCATTTTATAAATTGTTTGTTACGCACCGGTTCTTCTGCATGAGATTTCTGAAGGGCAACATGGCAGGTCCTATGAGTAGCACAAATGTTTTCTAACCACATCAGAAGGGCCTGATTCCTCATGCAACAATGTTTAAGGGAAAGCCAGTAAAATTCACAATGTTTTAGACATGTAATTATGAGCTGAAACCTTCTGCCAATATGGAGATGGGATGGAAGCAGGCACATAATTGGTATAAACGAAGATTCACTTAGGGCCATTTTGCATTAGCATCAGTATTTCAGATTTATGTGGCCCTCTACCAAGTGCTGACATTGCCAGTTTATTGGAGGTGGAGAGGCCATTGGAGTTGGTGTCTCCAAATCCCAATGACAGATTCACAGGGACAAACTCACCAATCCTGGGATATCCCCTCCACTCCAATGGACCCACCTGCCTCAGACCTCTATCTGCTGACTTCCCTACAGACAGCAAGTGAACCCATGCTGAGGCATCCTTGGGGCTTGCCTGCTTCCTCTTCAACATTCACTTTAAACACCAGAGCTGTCCAGCTGACATTGCTGTGAGCCCTGTGCCCTGGTTGACGTGCTTTCTTTAATTAGATGGTGGTTGCCAGAACTGGCTTCTCATGACCAAGATCCTGTCATGGCCACTTCTGGGCTCTCAAACTGGAATTGTAGCCAACATAAGGATTGGGACCAGTTTGGGAAAATTTAGTTCATGGGTTTAAGCATATTCCACTTCAGATTCTAATTTAGCTACAGAGCCACTGTCCAAAACAATTGATGGTGCTGCTTGCTGAGATATTTTCCTTAAATGAGTGAAAATGAAACATTGAAATTCCATTCTAATCGATGGCTTTTGTTCCATGTGACCTGCAGTGTTTCAGCTGTCCAGTCATACTTCATTTACTGGACCAGAATCGAATCTGGTCTCATTTCTGACCAAAAACAGAATTATTCCATTGCAATGCAGAATGAAGAATTGAAGGAAATATTTCAGGCATCTGCATATAATAGGACTACAGCCAGGACTGCTCTTTCTATTGAAGGTACAGTACATTTCAATCTTGTCACTCTAAAATCAATAATTGAATTACATTGATTTCAAATTAGAAAGCCCTGGCATCTATTAATTTATATAAATGATTTGTATAAGGATATAGGAGGCATGGTTAGCAAGTTTGTGGATGACACTAAAATTAGTGGTATAGTGGACAGTAAAGAAGGTTATCTAAGATTACAAAGAGATCTTGATCAATTGGGTCAAGTGGGCTGAGGAGTGGCAGAGTTTAATTTGGATAAATGTGAGGTATTGCATTTTTGCAAAAGCAAACAAGGGCAGGACTCATACAATTAATTGTAGGGGCCTGGGTAGTGTTCTAGAACAGAAAGACTGGGGTTCAGGTACATAATTCTTTGAAATTTGTGTCATGGGTAGACAGGGTGGTTATGAAGGTGTTTAGCACACTTGCCTTCATTGTTCAGACCTTTGAGTATTGGAGTTGGGACGTCATGTTGAGGTTGTACAGGATACTGGTAAGGCCTCTTCTGGAATACTGGTCTGGTCACTCAGTAATAAGAAAGATATTATCAAACTGGAGTGGGTTCAGAAAAGACTTACCAGGATATTGCCAGGAATGAAGGGTTTAAGTTATTGGGAGAGGTTGGATAGACTGGGACTTTTTTCACTGAAGTGCATTGAGGTTGAGGGGTGACCATTTTGAAGTTTATAAAATCATGAGGGGCATAGATAAGGTGAATAGCAAAGGTCTTTTCCCCAAGATAGAGGAGTTCAAAACAATGAGGCATATTCTTAGGGTGAGAGGAGAAAGATTTCAAAAGGACATAAGGGCCAACCTTTTTTTTTAATACAGAGAATGGTTAATGTGTGGGATGAACTGCCAGAGGAAGTGCTGGATGTGGGTTTAAAAGACGTTTTGATAAGTACATGAATAGCAAAGGTTTGGAGGGATATGGGCCAAATGCAGGCAGGTGGGACTAGTTTAGTTTGTTTCCCTGTAAGAGAGACCATGGTTTTCGCCAGTAAGGGCCTGGATCCTCTCCTCATAGGGCTGAGGAACCGAACATTAGGCTCACCATCACGAGCATAGTTGTCTTGGCTCTCTCCACCCTATTTCAGACAAAAGGAGGGATTGAATGAGATGCAAGTAGATAGCACAGCTGTTAATGCTGGTGCAGATGGGGAAAGGTATCCCTAGCATGTGAGTTGACAGCACTGAAGGCTTTACAAGGTTAGTAATGAGGGGGGAATTACATGGGTGAAAGAGAGTGACAGATGCTACGTGCAGTTGTGAAAGTGTAGAGCATGAAACTTGGTGGGAGATGGGTGCGGTAGCAGATTTCGAGTGAGTGTGATATATCTGAAAGAAGATTGTGACACTTACCCTACTGGAGCAGAGAATGCCATTGACCTCCTTTTGGCACTGCTCACCATTCTCCTAGATGGTTGAGGCTGCACTGACTCAGGTGGCAGCCATGGACCAGGCTGCCAGATTGTGGTGTCATGGCCTCCTCTGCTGGTCCTGGGGCAAAAGGACATCCCTCTTCTGCACCACCCAGTTCACCAGAAGCTCCTGGCCTCTGCCTGCAAGGTGGGGCATCTTCCACATCCAGAACAAATATCTTCAATTTTTCAGGGCAGCTTCAAACTGTTAGTATTTGACCAGATCTACATCAGACTTTTGAATATGAAGGCAGCACCCAAACACTGGAATAAGCTGGCAATGGTGAGAATACTCGCCTACAATGAGTGGGAGAAATAGGCCAGTGTTGGAAGAGCAGCGAGTTAATGACACAGATTTGGGATTATTGTGTGAGAAAACTCATTAGACTCGTCTAGCCAGCAACAGCCACATCCTGAGAATGAATAATTAAAAAACCTTAGAGAGAAATTTGACAAGTTATACTTAGCTGATATCTGGTCAAATTCAACCCCATCTAAGAAGCATAATCCTGCATGGCACAATTAATTTTTTTTCTCTGTTTAATAGTAGAATATTTCCACAGTACCGATACAAATGGAATAAATAGATTCCTGCCTTTCATGTGCTCTACCCTAATAATTTGGAATTTGATCTTTGAAATTTTTACCTGCAAGTGTTATTGAAATTAGCATTTCAATCTTGTTAATACAATGTCCACATTGTCATTTCTGACATTAGCAGATTACATCAATCCTCAAGCAACTTCTCAGATGACACAGGAACTTTCACAAATTCCATTCGTCACTACAGAATGGACCCTCAGACCACAGACTGCTCATGTGAAAAAACATTTGCCTGAATTGTCCAAATATTCTCAAGATCACAGCCCTTTGACCTCACAATCCACCTTGCAACAGAATCAGAACGAGAGGCATCTGCAGCCGTCCCTGAATTCTGCTAACAGAGATATACTGACTGGTATCCAGATTCCGGACAGCAGCCTTCTGCTGAAAACCGCAGACTTGAAGATTCATGAAGGGTAGATATAATATCGACTTAACATTTCCTTCAAAATGAGAAAGTATCTGTGCCTATATTTGAAAAAAAAATTAGAGGCAACTCTTTCAAATACATGAACAGAATGATCTGGTAAGCTATTTTCCTCCAGATCATTTGATGCTCCACAGTTATTTCTATTTTACAAAAGCACATTATTGCCCCACCTCTATTTTCAGGTCAGAATTTACCACCATCTGATATTGAACAAAGACTCTCCTTCCTGCACTGTATTGTACAGGTTTAAAATCACTCTGATCTCCTTGTCCAGGGTTATGTTATCTCCCACACAATTTGAAAAACTATCTTATCTAGAATGTACTGTAGGAAGATGAATCTATGGTGTAGTTGCCACCTGTCTCGAATTGCATGCTGGATTTTCAATCTATTTGTATAACACTTACAATAGGGGATCCAACCTGTTGTCGGACATTTGGAATACATATAAAATTTTAGTGATTTGTGATCCTACTCAATAATACAAGCCTTATTTACAAAAAAAAAAATCTACATGATAAAGTCAAGCCTGCTCTTGGAATTTTCCATACTTGCCTGATGGGTGCAGCTTTAACAACACTCAAGAAGCTTGACACTACCCAGGACAAAGCAAACCACTTGATTGTCACCTCATCCACAAGCCTCCACTCCCTCCACCACTGACATTCAATAGCAGCACTATGTACAAACTACAAGATGCACTGCAGTAATTTACTAAAGATAGCCCCTTCCAAACCCATGCCCACTTCCATCTAGAAGGACAAGGGCAGCAGATACATGGGAGCACTGGCATCTGCAAGTTCTCCAAGCCATTCACCATCCTGATTTGGAAATTTATTGCTGTTCCTTCACTGTCACTGGGTCAAAATCCTGGAGTTCCCTCCCTAAGGGCATTGTGGGTCATCCTACAGTATGGACACTGCAGCAGTTCAAGAAGTCAGCTCAGCACCACCTTCTCAAGGACAACTAGGAATGGGGCAATAAATGCTGGCCAGCCAGTGACGCCCATTTCCCACGAGTAAATAACAAAAAAAAAATGAATATGATCATGTCTGATTTTGAGCTTCAAACCCATTTTCCTGCCTGATTCTTATATTGCTGAATTCCCTGAGACTAAAGCCTGTCTATCTATCTATCCATCTATCCTGCCCTTAAATGCATTCAATGACACAGACATCACAACCCTCTGCGACAGAGAATTCCAAAGATTCGCAATTGAGTAAAGAATTTTGTCCTCATCAGTCCTAAGTGTTTGGCCCCTTATCCTAAGTCAATGTCTGTGTTTTAGATTTCCTGACCAAGGGAAAGAATCTTTGAGCATTTACCCTGTGAAACTCCTTCACAATCCTGTACGTTTTATTGAGACCATCCCTTATTCTTCTAAACTGCAGAGAATATGGACCCGATTTACTCAACCTCTCATCAGAGGATAATCCCCTTATACCAGGGACTAACTTACATGAACATTCATCACACTGCCTCCAGTACAAATATTTATTACCTTTAATGTGGAGATTAGAATTGCATGCAGCACTCCAGGTGTGGTTTCACTAAAACTGTACAATTGTAGCAAGACATCTTTTTTTCCTGCACTCCAATTCCCTTGAAATAAAGCACAACATGCCAATTGCTTTCCTGTTTGCTTGTTGTTTCTCTATGCTAACTTTCTGCATACCAATATCTACAAGAACTTTAACACTTATCAATTTCATATATTTTACAAAGCATTGTATCCCTTCTTCAGAAAAAGGGTCCCGACCCAAAACATCAACTTTCCTGCTCCTCTGATGCTGCCTGGCCTGCTGTGTTCCTCCAGCTCCACACTGTTTTATCGCTGACTCCAGCATCGGCAGTTCTTACTATCTTTTACAAAGCATTTCTGCTTTCCTATTCTTTTGACCAAAGTGAGTAACTTCACCCTTCTCTACATCCATCTGCCAACTTGTTGCCCACTCACTTAACTTGCCGAAAATCTCTTTGTATCTACTTTGTATATTTCAACTGAGCTTATCTTTTCACCAATCTTTGTATCATCACCAAACTTAGATACGTTACTCGCTATTACTTCATCTAAGTCATCACTGGAAATTGAAATTAGCCGAGGACCCACCACTGACCCTTGTGATACTTCACTATTCGCTACCTATTGATACTGAAAATGTCTCATTTATACCCACTCTCTATTTTCTGTCATTAACCAATCCTCAATCCTTGCTATTTGCTTGATTTCATGAGCTCTAATTAAACGTCTTTTGAAAATCAAGATATACAACATCTGCAAAAAAATTCCAACAAATTTGTCAAACAGGATTTTCCTTCAGTAAAATCAAATCAATTTGTCTTAATCACACTGTGTTTTTCTAAGCGCATTGTTTTAATTCCCCTAATAATTAATTCCAGCATTACCAAATTGATGTTAGATTAACTGAACCGTAGTTTCTCATTTTCTCTAACCCTCCTTTCGTGAAAAGCAATGTGACATTTGGCAACTTCTAATCTAATGAGACTATTCTCAAATATAAGGAATTTGTGAAATTCATAGTAAGTGCTTCCACTATTCTGTAACTATATCTTCTAGAACACTGTGGCATATATCAGTGGGCTCTGGGGATTTGTCCCATAATTTTTTTCCATACTTTTTTTTTCCCCTTTTAATGTTAATCTCCTCAATTGCCTCACTCCTCTTCATCCTGAGGCTACTAGCTAATACCAGAATGAAACTTGTGTCTTCAGATATAATTGAAGAAACAATATTTTTTCAATGGTCTGTCATTTCCTCATTCCCACAATATTTTCCCCTGTCTCTGCTTCCAAGGGACCAATTTTCTACTTTAGCGATGATGGTTTTTATATACTCATAAAAAACAGGTTATAACAGCTTTTGTATTTCTGGCCAGTTTTCTCCATATTCTACTTTTTCTGTCTTTATCAACGTTTGGTAGCCCTTTGCTGCTTTCTAAAACATTCCAAATTCTCAGTCTGGTTTCTGTTTTTGTGTTTTAAAAACACAAAGTATTGACTGTAAGCCTTTTCCTTTGATGTATTACTATCTTCAATTTTGTGAGTGAGCCTTAGAGGAGTCTTCCTTGCATTGTTTCTCAATGGAATATACTTTTTTGTGCATCTTTAATTATTTCTTTAAAATATTTTCTACTGCTCATTTACATTTTAGTCCATTTATCCAATTAACCTTAGTCACTTTGCCTCTCATGGCTATGTAATTGACTTTGTTTAAGATTATTGTTTCTGTTTGGAGTATATTACTTTCAATTTTACCACAGAATTCAATAGTATTGTGATCACTATTTCCCAAAAGATCTGTTACTATCGCTTTGCTACTTAATTCTGCTTCATTACACAATGCTAGATCTAAGATAGCTTTACCGTTGTTAGTTTTACAACATATTGCTCCAATAAACCATTATGAAAATAATCTACACACTCATCTTCTGGACTCCTGTCAATTTGATTATCCTAATGGAGATTAAAGTACCCCATAATTATGACATTGCTTTTGTTACAAGCTCTAATACCTTTTGTTTGGTGCTCTGTTCAAGTCTATAACTACCATTTAGGGGGCTATAAGCAGCTCCCAGCAGTTTTCTAACTCTTCTTATTCCTAATTTCAACCATGATGCAAAATCATGGTCTTCTGAGGCAGATCTTTTCTCACTATTGCTTTAAGCCACCTTTTACTATCAGGGCTATCACTTCTCCTTATCCATTCCACCTGTCTCTCTGAAATATACATTTCCCACCCTTGATCACCTTTTAACCTTGTTTTTGCAAATGGCAATTAGATCAAAACCATTTACCTTTATTTGTGCTATTAGCTCATGCTTCCTGCTAGATCAACAACTTTAGAACTTGCAAAACAGGAGATTCTTTTAAAAGATACAGAACACATGTCTGTCCTGTGATATGACCTTTACAAGCTCAAAATCATTTTCCAAATAAGTAGGAGGTATTTATTTGGATTCCAACATCCTTTGTTTAACAGCTTGAGGGCTCAAGACAGTCATTCAATCAGACAACATACCTAATTGGTTTCAGGGAAAGGGCATTGATTGATATCAGTCTGGGAAAGTTCCTGTTGTTCCCCCTTGAGAGAGGGGAATGGTTTCAATTCACAAAGGGTCAGGTGACTCTTGGACAGCCATCTTTTCTAGCTTCATATCTAGTTTAAAAACACAAAGTATTGACTGTAAGTTAATAATATAATTTAAACAGCTAATCTTTTCCCTGACCATAACTTATCAGGGTAGATATTCTTGCTTTAAAGAGAACAAACATAGGATTTTTAAACTTAGCTATTTTATGCTTTGAAGAAATGCCCTTCTAACAATTGAATAAATTATATTGAATTAAACTTGCTATAATGAAATAATTATTATCTTCTTACAATTTCTAGTGAAGATACGCTGAATAGTGATTTCCATCTAGCCTTTCAACCTTGTGTGAATTGCAATGATATTGTGCAAGTAAGTAGTTATTTCATATTCATAGCATTTTGTATATTTTATAGATCGTTTCCAGAAAGGACTAAAGTCTGGACTGCTGGATTGTTTAATTATGAATCCTAAGCATAGTAAATGATATCATATGAGTACTCTGTGGACAAGTACAGATCTATATTGGCAAACAGAAATGCAACTAGAGATTTTGATTTGGATTGATTGTCTTTTGGATGACGAAGCAGACCATGATTTTCCCTTTTTTAGTTTAATGGGGTGGGCAGCTTTAGAAGTGAGACATCCCTACCACAACCAGTAGGAAAGCTTGCTGGATCAAATGCCAATCAGCTGGGCACCTTGGTTAATCACTTCCTGGACAACAATGTCCCATGCTGCCTAAAGCTGCTGGCCACAGCCATTGTGAGAACCACTTTGGCATCAGAAACAAGAATGGTAAACACTGCCCTGTTGACCCTGCAAAGTTCTCTTTACTGACATCTGGGGTCTAGTGCCAAATTTGGGGGAGTTGTCTCGAAGATTAGTCAAGCAACAGGCAACCTTACAAAGTCCCAGACACTATTACCATCCCTGGGAATATAATGTCACACTGGCAGGGCAGACCCAGCAGAGGTGGCTGTACAGGGTATACAGTTGTGAGGGAATTGCACTGAGAATGCTTAACATTGGCTCCAGGCCTCATGAAGTCACATGGCATCAGGTTAAACATGGGCAAGGAAACCTCCTGCTGATTACCATACATTACTTACCCTCAGCTGCTGACTTCACCTGATGAAGCAGCAGTGCTCCAAAAGATTGTGATTTTAAATAAACCTGTTGGACTGTAACCTAGTGTCATGTGACTTCCGACTTTGTCCTCAACTGCTGAATCAGTAATCCTTCATGTTGAACACCATTTTGAGGAAGCAATGAGGGAGCAAAGGCACAGACTATACTCTGGGTGAGGTACTTCAATATCCACCACCAACAGTAGCTTGGCAAAATCACCAGTGATTGAGTTCATGCTAGATGTTGCTGCTAGACGAGGTCTGTGCCAAGTGATGAAGGAGGCATCAAAATGGAAGAACATACTTGACTTCATCCTCATCAATCTGCCTGCCTAAGATGCATCTGTCTATGACAGTATTGGTAAGAGCAACTATCGCACAGTCCTTGTGGAAACAAAGTCCTGTTTTCACATTGAGATTACCTTCCACAACCAAGAGATCAGATCTAAGCTCTGCGGTGCTGCCAGATCCACTGGGATAATTAAACAACACATTGGAGGAGGAGGCTTCACAAATATCCCCATCCTCAATCATGGGTGAGTCCAACCCATCATTGCAAATGATAAGGCTGGAGCATTCATAATAATCCAGATGTGGTAAGTGGATGATCCATCTCAGCCTCCTTTAGAAGCACTCAGCATCACAGCTGACAATTCACTCCGTGATATGAATTGGAGGCACTGAATTCTGCAAAAGCAATTGGCCCTGGCAACATTTTGCAATTGTAATAAAGAACTGTTCTCTAACACTAGCTGTGCCCCTAGCCCAGTTGGAAAACCACTTGGAAAATTGCTCAGGTATGTCCTGTACTGAAAAAGCACTGCTGCTTCATCAGGTGAAGTCAGCAGCTGAGGGTAAGCAGTATATGGTAATCAGCAGGAGGTTTCCTTGCCCATGTTTAACCTGATGCCATGTGACTTCATGAGGCCTGGAGCCAATGTTAAGCAGCCAATTACTGCCTCATTCTTCTACTTTCGCTAATCAGTAAAGTGATGGAAGGTGTCATCAAGCAGCACCTGCTCAGCAATAACCTAGTCAGTGAGACCCAGTTTGGGTTCTGCCAGGATCACTCAGCTCCTGACCTCACAACAGCCTCAGTTTGAACATGGACAACAGAGCTGAACTGGAGAGAACAGGTGTAAGTGACATTGAGGCTGCATTTGACTGAGTCTGGCATCAAGAAGCCTCCACAAAAGTAAAGCAGTGTATGCAATCTACAAGATGCACTGCATAAATTCATCAAGGCTCCTTAGAAAGCAGCTTCCAAATCCACAGGCATTACTACCTTGGAGAGCAAGGGCAGCAGATACATCCTAAACCTCCCCTCTTGACCTCTTACCATCCTGACTTGGAAATTTGTCACTGTTCCTTCAGTGTTGCTGGGTCAAAATCCTGGAACTCCCTTCCTATAGGCATTGTGGGTCTACCTACTGCACATAGACTGCAGCAGTTCAAGAAAGCAACTCACCAGTTGGCAGTAAATAAAAACCGAAAGAACTGCAGATGCTGTAATCAGGAACAAAAACAGAAGTTGCTGGAAAAGTGCAGCAGGTCTGTCAGCATCTGTGAAGAAAAAAATCAGAGTTAATGTTTCGGGTCCATTCTGAGGAAGGGTCACTGGACCTGAAATGTTAACATTGGCAATAAATTTTCATCCAGCCTCTCCTTACAACTCAAACCCTCCAGTGATAGTTAATTTACTATATTTTATTAGCTTTTGTTGTTGCTGATTCTTAATTAACTCTGAAAAGTCATTTGCAACGAGTTGAAAATTTTTTTTGTAGTTTTAACATTTGTAATTGTTGTCAATTGAGAATTCTAGTCTATTAAATTGACACATCACTTCAATTTTGAACTTGTTATGTTAAATACATGTCCCATTGTTTGACTTTTAACCTCATATGTCCTTCCTTTTGTGCACTGGTGCTGTGGATGCTGCAAGAAAGAGGACAACAAACATCAGTTTTGTGTGTTACTGCACCCTAAATGGCTGCCTTGCAATTAAATAACATTTATAGCACTAATTCAGCAATTTCATGGAATGCAGTGCATGTCAATAGTGAGGCTGATGGCAAAGGAACATGGGAGTACATTGGAGAGAGTGCAGAAGAGGTTTATGAGAATAGTTCCAGAAATGAGACACTTCAGTTCTGAGGAAAGATTGGAGAAGTTGGCAGTGGTTTCCTTGGAGAAGAGAAGGCTAAGAGAAGACTCTATAGCAGTTTTCAAAATCATGACTGGTCTGGACAGTTTGCATAGGGGGAACATGTTTTCCATTTGTAAATGGATCAAGAACCAGAGGCAAAGTTTTAACGTATTTTGCATAAGAGGCAAATGTGATATGAGAAGAAACTTTTTATACAGCTGGTAGTAATGGTCTGAAAGTTGCAACCTGGAATTGTGGTTCAATTGAGGCATTCAACATTGGATAAGTATATAATATAGAAACAATGTGCAGAGTTATGGGGAAAAGGCAAGAGATTAAGTTAAATGTTTAGACAGCCAGTGTGAACAGAATGGGCTGAATGGCCTCCTTTTGTTCCTTGACAGTTCTGTGAAGTTCCAATGTTTTTAGTTCTTCTCAGCCACGTAGCAGGGCTACACAAATCATTAGCAACTTGTGGCTAATCAGAACATATGCTCTTTCACTTCTTGCCTTGTGCTGTGTTTCCTTATGAATTAACAACGGCAGGTACTTTGAATACATCTTTAGTAGCAACATTTTCTGGGCTAGTGTAAAATATGGAGGAGTTAGTAAATGTAAAGGTGGATGCCAAATTAAGTGTTAAGTTTTACAATATAATTGTGTTAAGTTTAAAGCATTAATGATTGTGATGGAATTGCTACCGGATTATTCTGTAATAAGCATCAAGCAATAGCTCAGCAACAATCAAGTTCATTGCTGTGGTATTTAATTCCTGTCATCATTTCATTTTAAAGGTCAGCACCTGGGCCACTTCTGAAACTAACTCAGAATTTTCAGCAGCAATTTCTTTGCCAATAAAAACTGGACAACAGTATTCTACCTTTAGGTTTTCTGACATCACTCCTCGTGAGGAAATGGATTGGGCACCTGCGGATAAAGACAGTATCAAAAACCAAAGAACTAAAGCCATTCTAGACATTGGATTATTTTCAAATGTAATGAACATAAATCCAACGCTCACTGAAAACCAGCCGACACCACATCATGCTTCTGTAAACCTCCTGCAATTGGTCAAAAACTCAGGTTCCAGAACTGATCTGGGAAAAGTGGTCAGAAACATATCCCTCGGGGTGACACAAACCATGCAGAAAGAAAGTGTAACAAGTCGAGAAGATAGTCCTGCTAACGGAGCAAAATTGGGCGTTCCTCAATTGACAATGCTACTTGGCTGTTCTGCTGCACTTGGCATGGCATTAGCAGTAGGGTTACGTCATTTTCTTTCCCAGTATTGTCGAAAACATACAGAGGTATCCTTTGGCAACCCAGACAGCAGCAGCATCATCAGTGTGGGAGAGAGTGGTGAGCTGGTGCATGTCAGAAAGATACGTGAAAATAGCTTTGTACTTGTTCAGGCTGAATACAATGTGATCACGCCATCAAGCACTGCTGAAAAGTAACTGTGTTGGCCTTTGTAAGAATTTTTAATTCATTATATATCACAGATTCATTAGAATGTACTGTTATATTACATTGTGAACTCCATTACTGTCTGCATGAATGAAGAGAGATTTGCAATCTTCGTATGCTCAATCCCAGCATGTCCTCTTGCACGCACAGATTGCAAATATTCTTATTTCACCCATTTTTCAATTCCACATTTTCCCTAATGCAAGGCCAGTGAATATCTTGAAATGTATTCATGCTCAAAGTCAACATTTAGGCTTGCCTGTTGGCTGAAAGAGTGCATGTATAAAGCAGCCTTGGTTGCAACAGGGGTTCGGGGAGATGGAGGTGCAGAAGAATATTAACTCTTTTTAAAGTCTCTCCACTGATCTAGTAATCTTCCAAATAATTCCATTTGTATTGGTGGTGATTTATATTAGAGTGCAGACTCTTGTTGAGGGGCTGGGGATCTTCTTTGCTGCTGGAGAGTGGCGAGAGATCCATGTTACCTCTTTTCAGGAAGGCCCACCTGAGTGAACCAATCAGACAGTACCAAGGCTTGTGGTGGGCCTTTCACTGGAATTGGGATCCACTGGTGAGGCTGCTTCCGGAACGATTGGCACCAAAATCCCCAGAATCGAGAAGTGAGCCAGGCCAAAGCTAACTGATGTTAGGAGGGGTTTTGCAGGGAGGTGGGAGGAGTGGTCAGGAGAAAGGACAGGGTGTTGTCTCTCAGTCAAATCCCCCCCATCCCCGCTTCCTGATGTCATACCTTGGTGAAGTGCTGCGCACCTTTGATTGAGAGACCTGTCAAGCTGGTCACACCATTTTACCTGTCACGCACATTGCATATCGACAGGCCTGTCTGCAGCTAAGTTAATACAAGTGACTTTACATAGTCATTAATTTGCCACAAAGGGCCTCAATTGTCAGTTGGTCAGGAAGTCTGACTATGGGCTTTCTGGCCCCTGACTTAATTCTGGTAGAGGCCAAAGAATGTGGGGTTCAGGTACACCACCATCCCACCTAAGTAAATGTCCTTCCCATCTTCAAGTTTGCCATGAGTGAGGACAAAAGATTCTGCCTGTGGATACATCTTCAGTAGTTACTGATCTGCTGTTTATTGTTAACTGGCACAATTCTGTCAATATTGTTACGCGTGTTAGATTCCCAATGAATGACACTTCCCATGTAATCATGCTTGAAGAGGCATCGTCACCTTTAAATTAGCAGCAAAAAGGTGGGGTTACTATTTTTTGTTATCATAAACAAAATTCTGCCATTTTTCACCTGAAAAAAGAGGGCTTCCATCAGCAAATGATGGGAGGAGATTTACGATTCATCAAACATGATCTAAAAGCTTTTCTTCAACTCTTAAAATTAGTTTTGAATTTTCCTGTCCTGGTTCTGTTTGGAAGATTTTTTTGTAACTTCTGATAAATGGATTTTTTTTGATCCTGATTTAAATGTGAATTAAAATGTGAACATTTCTGCTGTAATTTGCAAAGTAAGGCCCATACACAATGGTTGATGGGTAAGCACGTTGAATTTTTACTACAGTTCTCAAAAGCAGCAGAAACTGATTTCAGAAGAACTCACCGGCCAACTCTGCTACCATTCAATATTACCTGTAACCACTAAACAAGCCCTAAACCTGATTTCACAGCATGTCCATATACCATTTTAGAGTGTGTGAAAGTATTTAAAAATGACCAAGGCTGTATCAGTTTTATGCTGATGTGAAGCAGTTGGGTGTGAATTGATGGAGAAGTAGCTTATGGTATTAGCTTAAGCAAGTCGTGTGTGTCTCACTTTTGAGGTCTGGTCACACAGTAGGCATTCACACCAATTTAGTATCATTTTACATTAAGACTAGCTTCTGTTTCATGAGGTATGCAAATTAAAGGTGCAGCGATTTTCTGATTCCTAAATCATAAACTGATACATCGCATTAACATTGTTTTCATGCAATTGTTCAGTGTTTACTTGATGCCTAGACAGGAAATTATATCTTGAGTATGATTTGACTTGTTCATTACTGTTTTTTGCATTGCATTGTTAACAAAAATTTGCATTCGTTAAGTTACGAGGCCACAGTTGATTGCAATTGATTGTTTAACAATAGAATACGGAAGATGCTTGTCTCCAGAAGTTTGCATTATAGTGAAACTGGAATGTAATTCTGAGCACACAAAGCACCTTGAGTTCTAAAAATAAATCTCAACTTGTATAAATTCCTATTTTCTGTAATTAGATCATTAACAATTTTTTTGTATGTTCTTTTGCAAACAACTCTCTCGAGGAAGTTTTGCAATCTTTACCACCATTTGTGTGAATAGGTTGTTCTGTTTAAGCAATATAAGTTCTGCATATGATTAAGAATCAGTAATTAACTCTAGTCTGTCTATTAAAAAGTGTACTTGCAGTTCAGTATTTTTAGTGATCATTTCTATGACAGGTAAACTGCATCTTTATCATTGACTTTGGCTGGAAGTGGTTAGCTCAGCATAGCCTTGTACTGAACCTGAGCTCTCCATATCTATGGCTTAACAACTCAAATGATGAATCTGGAGTTTCAGAGTTTAAATTTGTTGAGATTCTCTTATGTGCAGTGACTTATAATGTCAAAGTAGTTAAACCATGTTTGTGTGGATACTTTATTATTGGACACACTTTTTCCTACAATCTTAATGCAGGCATAAGCAACTTAACGGCCAAAAATTTGATCTCAGAGCAGATTTAACCAAAACTTTTGAAATGTAATATTTTGCTATGGTTAAAATTGTATACAATATTCCTTAGAAATAAGAATAATCAAATAGTCAAGCAGCACAAGTAATAATGTAAACTGTGCTATAGAATGTTTTATCATAAACAAACAAGAAGGGCACGTCAATTCAACTTATTATAACAAATGCAAAGTATACAGTAGACAAGTTACTGTTCAGATTTATAAAAACAACCATTATTTTTAGTTGGCCAATTATTCTGTGCTTCTCTAATTTTATTAACTTCCATGTAAACTGGATTTAAACACTAATGATTTACTTTGGAACCTGACCAAATGAACTCAGACTGATTGACAGTAGTTAAAAGGACACTGTGACACATGCACAATTTGTTGGGCTAAATAAACATGAGAATTTCAGAAACAATCTATATGCAGTGGAATTACTATTAATAACAATATTAAATAACTGTACTTTTAAATTTTAATGCATCTTTTAAAAATATACATTTTATACAACTGTTCACAATTTTACATTTTCAATATGATACAATAATTGATATGGTTTTCAAATGAAGCTTCCAACTTGACATTTTAAAATATTATTTCGGGAAGGGCATTTGTTCAATTAATTATAGTTATGTACAGCAAACTGTTTTAACTGGCACCTTATGAATTGGTACTCCCGATACACTGACACAATTTATATACCTCAAATACTGCAAGGTTTACTGTATTATTCTGTCCAATTATTATCGATCTTTAATTTATTTACCTCAATGCAAGTTTACTCGTTCAATTGAATGGCCACATGAAATATCAACAGTTGATTCAATTTCGAGTCAATTTCTCCTCAAATAATTGCTGGCCTGGCCAGTGACACCCTCAACCTGTGAATGAATAAAAAAAACTGCAATCTACTGCAATGTCCCAGTAATCAGCTGTGGGTGTGAGTGAAAAGGCTCTCTGCCACTAAGTTTTATTTAAGGCAAAGTTGCATTTTATTTAACTGATTTATGCTGTAAATAAATTATAAAAGTGATGTACATACACCCTGCATTATGTTTCTGTTACTTCATGTGTGTTTTTGCATTGATTATATAGACCTCTTGATTATCCGGAATATTTGATTAACCAGCACACTCCTGGTCCTATAGGCGCCAGTTAATAAAAAGTTTGCTGTATTTCCAATTTGTTGGTTTGATAGTTTTTGATATCAAACTTCATTTTATATCAAAAACAACTTTGATTATTAAGACGACTGAAGCGATAGAATAAGTTTTAAAATCATAGAATCCCTACAGTGTGCAAACAGGCCCTTCAGCCCAACAAGTTCACACTGACCCTCACAGCATCCCACCCAGACCCATCATCCTATAACCCACCTAATCTACACATCGCTGAACACAATGGGCAATTTAGCATGGCCATCCACCTAGCCTGCACATCTTTGGACTGTGGGAGGAAACCGTAGCACCCGGAGGAAACCCACGCAGACACGGGGAGAATGTGCAAACTCCATACAGTCATTGAGGGTGCAATTGAACCTGGGCCCCTGGCATTATGAGGCAGCAATGCTAACCACAGAGCCACCGTGCTGTCCACAAAGACTTGAGTAACCAAAATAGCAAGCCTTAATATGGATGAATATTTACATAACTTTCTCTGGCAATTCACAAAACAATCGGAACAGAATTGGGCTGACTGAGTGTAGCACACTGAAGACAATAAAGTTAAATCAGCATGAGTTATTATCTCCTTAGCTACTCCAGGCTATTAAGAAGGGTCACTGGTCCCCAAACGTTAACTCTGCTTTCTCTCCACAGATGGAGTTTTTCGGCACTTTCTGTTTTTGTTTCTGATTTCCAGCATCTCCAGTTCTTTGTTTTGTTTTAATGGACAATGCAATGCTTTCAAGTCAGACAGTTCTCTCCTGGATGTGGACACTACATGCAAGCTACAAAGTAAACACATTGGGCCAGATCTTTCTTGGAAAATAACTGCATGAGCACAGTAGTGAATGTTGCTATTAAGGTGCAAATCAGCTGGAAGATTCATTGTATTACAAAATTACAGCATGATCTTCAAAGTCTTTGTGTTGCTTTATTAACAAAACAGCACTGACTGTTCTTGATGCAGGTTAATTCCATTCCTCAGAATTGTTTCCAATAGTTTCCCCACCACCAAGGTGAGGCTGACCGGCCTGTAGTTTCTTGGTTTATCCCTTCCTCCCTTCTTGAATAATGGCACCCATTGGCTATCCTTCAGTGCTCTGGCAGTTCTCCTGTAGCCAGAGAGGAATTGTACATTTTTGCAAGTGCCCCTGCTAGTTTCTCCCTCAGTCAACAACCTGGAGTACATTTTCATCTAGTCCTGGCAATCTACCTACTTTTAAAGCTGGTAGACCATTCAGAACCTCCTCTCCATATATGCTAATTTATCTAATCATATCACATCCTTCTCCCTGATGTCTTTACCAATATTGTACCTCTCACTAATGAAAGTTTAAGTAAAGTATTCATTTAAATTCCTATCCAAATCCTTTGGCTCCATGTATTAATTACCACTGCCGTCCTTAACAGGCCCTACTGTTTCCCTAATTATCTTTTTACCCTTAATGTAACCTGTAAAACAATTTAGGATTTTCCTTTATTTTACCTGCCAGTGTACTCATATCCCCTTTTAGCTCTCCTTTTTAATCTACCTTTTATGCACCCCCAGTCCGCACTTTGCACATTCTAAACAAATTTAGGGTTTCCCTTGCATTCTCCTTTCAGTATTCTGAAAAGACCATTCTTTCTGTGAACTCTAGTCCAGTCCTCTGTAACCCACCACATTCTCTTCCCTTTCCTATGGCACCTTTTTATAGGCAAGTACAAGAGTGCATCACCTGCTCTTTTAGCTCCTCCCTTCTCACCGACCAAGGTCCCAAGCAATCCTTCCAAGTGAAGCAGCAATTTGGTTGCAGTATAAACATGATTGGCTGCTTATGATGTAAACACTAGGGAGACCAAGTGGAGGCTAGGTAACTGTTTTGCTGAACACCTTTCCTCAGTCACCTAACATGAGCTTCTTGTAACCTGTTGTTTCACTTGTTCACTTTTCTTCTTCTCTGACATTTTCCTTGTCCTGCTAAATGTTCCAAGAGAGCTCAATGCAAGCTGAAGGAACTGCTTTCAAGTGATCACTTCACTGTCCCAGGACTCAACATTCAAGTTCAACAATTTTAGACTATAACCTCTTCCCCTTTTTGTTTTGTGTTTTTCTAGATATTGTTTTCTCTGGATTCATTCTTAATCCTTTTGAGTTTGGATAATTGCTGTACTGTAACTCATTTCATTTCCACACAGATTCCTTGTTTCATTACTTGTTCCATTACCACTCCTTTTGGTTCTTTACCATATCACCTTTTGTCATTTATCTTTCCTATCCTCTGCCCTATCACAGACCTTCCCTTTTCTCAGCTCGCTGGAGGTCACAAACCAGAATTGTTAACTTTGTTTCTCTCTCCATATATGCTGCCAGACCTGTTGAGTATGTCCACCATTCTGAATATATACTTTCATTTATTCATTAACTCATACCTTATTTTTATTTTAGATTTCCAGCATTTGAAGCATTTTATTTTTGTTTGATCAACTATAGTTTTTTTTCAATAATTACTTTAGTCCATTAAGGCAGCTACATAAAACACATCAATAAGGTAAAATGTTTTAATGTGATGGAAGAAGCCTGAGTAAAGGTTCTGGAATGAAAGAGAAGATAGAGGTTAATTCATTAACTATTCACTTAAAAATACTGGGTAAGATGTTAAAAAGCACAAATTCCACCTAAAACGTTAAATGTGAAATAATGACAGAATATTCCTTGCCTGGTGGTGGTGGGGGTCCAACAGTAATGAGATAGCTCCTGCTGCATTCCTGCTACTATTCTGGGAGATGGGCAGATGATCTAGAAATCAAATCCTTTGGCTGTTTCAGAAGGTGGGCAGGCAATTAAAAGGATTTCATAGACCACGATCACAGCTACTTTGATGCAGCTTCTCTTCAGGAGTCTGATGGGCTATGGGAATTGGAGATATCACCCTTCAAAGAAAAAACCACAAGGGAAAAGACAACCCATGCAACCTCATTAGTTCAACTGATGGGAGCTGCCCTTTGATCCATACGGCCTCTTGCCTACCCCATTCTGAAACTTTTTCTTATTCCTCCAAGGGCACCTCTATTCTGAGGTTTTAGACCTTAAAGACACTGCTAGGTCTTCTACCTCTCCCTGGGGGCTGCTCAAGCTCTAGAGCTGCTGCCTCGGAGGTTGCACTGGAAACTCTAGGAGCCTGCCTGCCATCATAAATGGGATTGTGTACACAGAGTGGCCTGGGAAAAATGTCAGTTAGTATGTCTCCTGGCAATTGGTGGCTCAGGAACACCCACTTTATTCCAATGTTTGATTTTTCAGCAAGTGAATCTATTTGTCAGTCTCAACAAAAAAAAATACAAAGTCAGAATATCAACCTACTTGTGTGTGCTATATGGCTCTTTATTGATGTATCTTGCAAAAATAAAACGAGGCGCTTGTAAAATGAACAAGTAAATTGCTTCTAACAATAATTTACATTTATACATTTGAAACAAGGGCAAAAATTTCTGGAGAAACTCAGCAGGTCAGTGTTAGTGGCCTCAAAATGTTAACTCTGTTTTCTCTCATAGATGCTGCCAGATCTGCGGAGTTATTCCAACAATCTCTGTTTTTATTTCAGATCTTCAGCGTCAGCAGTTTTTTGTTTTACATTTAAACATTTGTTTGGATTAAAACACATTCATTATAATGGCCCATAACCAATAACATACAAAACATACATAAACTCTGAAAAGGCTCGCATATTTCAACCAGTTGCTATTTTGTTCAGAAACGCACAAAAAGCAACATTCAAGAAATGATTAATTAGAATGAAAACAGATAAGTTCAATGAATGTGCACCTCATAACTAGTGACTTAAACATGAGCAAAGCCTGATGCATTGTAAGCATTTTATCTACAATGCTGTATTAATAAATGTATTTTACTAATGGTCCCATCATTTCATGGATCATGCTCCAGAATTTATAGTAGAATCATTAAAAAAATCCTTATATTGCATTTAATAAATGAACTCAACACTATCCAAAGGAATTGTGACTGAATCTACTAAGGATACAATGTAGTAATCTAACTGAAGGGTTTATTTTAATCTCACACTGTGTCATTCAAGGTCACATGAATTTGGTCTGAGACACTATAAATTCATGTGTATACACATATACATATGTAATATATAAAAATAGACACTTTATTGACCTTCACCTGCACTACAGATGGCACAACAGTGTCAAAATAAATGTTTGTACAAATAGATGATGCAGGTCCTCATTGGATACTAATTTGGTAAAATAATACGAAGCAGAATTTTGGGTAATTTCTGATAACTGATAACAAACAGATTGATATTGGGCAGGTTGCAGCTACAAATTACTGTAGCTCATCAAACCACAATTTTGATTCACTGAATTTGAGATTCAGTTATGCCATCATAAAATACATTTCAAAGAACAGCTTCCAGCAACTATTTTCCTGAGAGTTACACCATAGAATGAAAAATATAGCATTTGCCACATTCAATAACTGTTCAACAATAATATTTATTTGGAATTTACTTTTGCCTTTTTAAATATGATATTTTGACTAGCTGAAGTGTACTGATACAATTTAATTGGAGGTCTTCTATCAATTGTCTTGCCCATCTTCAATCCAGCAACAAATTACTTCAAACTTATCCACTACTCCTCAATTTGATTAGTGTCAGACAATGTGGTTTTAATGGAAGCAGACACCAACAGAGTTAATTTCTGGCCCTTATCCACCACGATAGCACTTGGCCATACTGTGGGGTATCCTCATGGGATAAAAGGCAAAAGCTTTGTGAATTTAACACAAAATGAGGCCAGCTAATGTTATAACATTAAACATAAAGCCTAAGGGGAGAAAAATAGCAATATTTCATTTAAAGAAAAATAGGATAAAAACATGAAAAGAATTCCTTTAAGATTTTTTGATAGCTGAACATCATTTCACAAACCTAGATGCCACAATCTTTTAAATATCCCATGTGTTGATTTACCAAGTATTTTTTGTTACCAAAATAAAAATCAGACATACACCTCAAATACCCTGCAGTCCTCTGCGCTTATTCAATAAATAGTTCTTGCATAAGGAAAATTAACCTAAAAGCGTCAGTTGTACATTTAAGGCACTTAATCATGAACATATACAAAATAAAACAGGTACAAACACAAAATTCTTAAACATAAATCTTCACTTGAATGGTTTGCTGGAGGTTCTATATATACTTTTCATTGCATGGTACATGTACATTCATACGAAATAAATATTCCATTCACGTTATACAGGAACCTTTGTCTGTCTTGTGAGTTTTAGAGCCTGTAAATGAAAAAAACAAATGTGGGACCAAATAGCAAATCAGCCTAGTACATATTTCACAAACAATGTTTGTTCACATTGTTTACAGTACACTCAGCCACAGTGGTGATTTTCCTTTCTGAAAGTTGGTATTGAAAATACTAGAAATTTCTTTCAATGCGCATTTAGTAACAGCAACTTGCCTTTAGCTTAGCATCCCAAGGCATTTCAAAAGTAGGCTGTGAAAAATAATTAGACAGTGAGCCATGTAAGGAGACTTTCAGCCAAACGACCAAAAGCTTGGTCGGGGAAGTAGGATTTGAGGAATGTCTTGAAGGAGGGAAGACAGAGAGAGAGAGAGATTCAGAGAAGAAATATCAGAGCTTTAGACCTAGGAAGTTGAAGGCATGTCTGCCAATGGTAGAGTGATGAAAAATGCTCAAGGAACTGCAACTGATGAAGTTGGAGATTCAGGCTGTACAGCTGGCGATTATTGGAGGATTGGGAAGGGAGAGGTTATGGAGGAATTTGGTAACAAGGATGAGAACTTTAAAGTCAAGATGTTGCTTAAGTAGGAGTAAATGTAGATCAGCGAGCATGAAATTGGGGTTGGGGAATGGAATAAACGAGTAGGACTTGGTTTGAGTTAGGATAGAGACAGGAGGGCTTTGAATGAATGATAGAACATGTGATGCTAGCCAGAAGTGCACTGGAATGATCAGGTCAAAAGGCAACAAAGGTATGCCCAGGGATGCAGCAGTAGGTAGACAAAAGCAAAGTCTAAGACAAGTCAGATAATTCTACACAGGTGAAAATAGGTAGCTATCAATGATAGTGTAGATGTGAGGTAGGAAGCTTATTTGGGGTCAAATTTAATGCAAAGTTGGCCAACAGTTTGGTTCAGCCTCAGGCAATTGTCAGGGAGAGGGATGGAGTAAGACAAGGAAATTACATTTGTGTTGAGGGATAAAGACAATGGCTTTTATCTGCCAAATAAGTTACAAAAGGAATCATACCGAAGTCTTTTCTAACTTATAATCTTACAATTTGTTTTCTTTTATGTTTTTAAAGAAACTATTTGGGGGAAGTTTAGAATTTAACTGATGAGATCAAAGTCTCTTGGGAACCAGTCATAAGAATTTTAGTTGAAATTATTTTGAACAGAGTCAACTTGGTTCCAAGTGAGTAGCAAATGTGTATATTTTAGGACTTGCTGTTAAAATGATACCGTTTTGGAAGATGACCTCAAGGAAGCTAATTTAATAAAGAGAAAATCTCCCATCAGTGTAACATGAGGTGCTCTTTAGAGTTTGAGGATTGTTATATTAAGAGCATTCTGATCTCTATGTCTGAAGGCTATTGGTTCTTTGCCCAACCACAGAACTTGAGTATGTAACCTAGGTTCATACTTTGCTAATGTATTGAGGGAGAGTTCTGATGCTGGATATGCCATCAACATGATGTCAAGCCAACATCTCAGCTCTTGGTTAAGCCTTGTAAGTGATTCCACAGCATTACTCAGAAGAAGAATAGGGAGACCTACTAATATCATAGCCAAAGTTTCTCCCCCAAATACACCAGGTTGACGGAGAATTTAGAAGGATTGTTAAATGAGGCTCTGTGAATTGAAGAAGAAAAAAGGGACATTCAAACAGCTGGGAATGATCCAGGGATCCCGAAATAATCAGAAGGAAATAGAACAGCAAATACGTAAGGCAAATTTCTGAGAGTGCTGGAACACTAAGTGGCTAAAGTTAGGGCATCTCAGTTACCCTAGTATTATTTAGATCTGAATCAATATGCAAGGTAAAGAGGGCGCAGAATTCTTAGGATGCATGTAGAGAAATATTTTCAGAGACTACATTGTATGAGGAAGACTGTATTCTCAAGTTCATGCTGAGAATCTTTGGGGACAAGGACTACAGCTTCTGGTATGCCTGTGGCCTCAGTGCAGAGAGTGGCAGGGGGTACAGGTCTGAAGGTGCAAAAGATGACTGAAAGAGTTTTTTTTTTATAACTGATACTTCATCACAGGATCTGGGAGATGGGAGATCTTGCTCACATGATATTATGAGTGGTGTGAAAATATGACCATGAGATGAGGGGTAAGGCAGAGTGAAGTGGAGGGTTGGCTCCAGGCAGCTGAACTGCTGCAATTAGCTCCATAGATTGAGTTCAGAGGAGTCCTGGAGCCAGAATTGCTAGTGCAGTTGATGTGTTGGCACTTAGAGAAACACAGGCATAGTTGTTAACTCAGTGAAGTCAGCTGCTCAGTAAAGCTGGCAGCTGGGGAAAAGAAAAGCTTGTAAGCAGTGTCTGTTAGAGAACTGAGATCATACCAATGAACAGATGCTACGGTATAGTCCTGTAAACTCAATGGCATGCAGTATTAGAAGAGATTGAGCAGCTGTGAGGTAAGCAGTCATATGGATAATAAAAACTGGAATCCAATTACTTGACTGCTCCTTACAGACAGAAGAAGCATGAGAGCTTCCAGGCTGAGTTGGAGTTGCTGGTGAAGGATACTAGAGGGTATATTTCTAAAGGAGTGAAAAGAAATCCCCCATGCAGAAGACAGAGTTTAAGACAGTGAACACTACTGTCTGGATGGGTTGCTGAGAAGATTCACAAGACCTGTCTTGGTTGTGTCTACCATTTAATGTGCAGTTCATGCTTTCTAAAACAGCAGTTTGCTCACTAATTTGGACTTACCCCATGTTTGTTTAAAAGTATGGAACCTTGTGGCTCTATTCTCTCAATAAATAACTGGTAAAATATGTGTGACAATAAATAAATCAAACCAAATCAAGACATCACAGTTGAAGAGAACGAGTGTGAAATATTGGGTGGGTTAATCATAGTGAGAGAGAAAACATTGAGGAGTTTAGAATCTTTGAAAGTAGACAGATTGCCAGGAGTGGATGAAATGTATCCTTGGCAATTAAGTGAAAGATGTAGGGGAATAGTAGAGCCTCTGACCATCATTTTCAAATGTTATCTAGCTACAGCCACAGCGCTGAAAGACTGAAGGATTGCTAAGTTATTGTTGTTTAAATAGACAGAAGGGGATAAACCATGTAGTTAAAGGTTAGTTATCCTAACTTGTCACATGGGTGAACCACTGAAATAAGTTTAGTGAGATAGATTTTTGACAAGATCTCATATGGCAAATTAGCTGGTCAAGTACTGTAAAAATCCATGGGAACAAAGGAAACACGGAAATTTGGATCCAAAACTGGCCCAATGGCAATAAGCAAAGGTTGACGTGTGCTTTTGTGACTGAAAGGCCATTTCCAGTGGCAGTCCAGATGGACCAGTATTAAGTCCCTTGCTGTTTGTCTTCTTTATCAATAATTTAGACTTAAATGTTAGAGGCATGATTAAGAAGCTTCCAGACAATACAAAAACTAAATATGTGGTCTATAAAGAGGGTAAAACTGGACCACAGGAAGATGTCTACGAACTTCTTAGGTGAGTAGAAAAATTAATGACAAGTAAAATTAAATCCTTAGAAGTATGAAATATTGATCTGGGGCAGGCAGAAGAGGTAAAGGAATACAAAGTGGTAGGATACTGAGAAGTGTAAAGCAACAGAGAAATCGTGGAATACATTTCCACAATTCCCTCAAAGACATTGTGCAGATAGATGGCTTATAGGGCATACGGGATATATTCTATTCCTTGGCTAATAAAGAGCAGGGAAGTTATAAAATACTGCAAAGAACTGTAGTTAGACCACAGTACAGAAAGGATGTGATCACAGTAAAAGTGGGACAGAGGAGATATACAAGATGTTGTCAACACTGAAATTTTTTTGTAAGGCAATGGTGGAAAACTCGGTTGTTCTCTTCCGAGCAGTGAAGGTTGAGGGAAGATTTAATGGAGAGAAGAATCAGAGGGAAATGGAGGATAGATCATTTTCTCCCAGAGTTAATTAAGTCTGGAACTCCCTGACTGAAAAGGTAGTAGAGACAGAAAACCTCATTGCACTGGACCAAGAGCTGGAAAGTGGAATTAGAGTGGACAGCTCTTTTTAGGTGAGCACAAACACAGCAATTAATTTCATAACTTTTATTCTGAGCTCAGCATTTTCGTCTTTCAACAAAACTAAGTTCAGAAATTCAGCGGTCTGAGGAACATTTAAAAATATGAATTAGGAACGGCCACTCAGTCCCTTGAAACTGACAGTAATCTTGGATAATCTCCCTGATAATACACATCAGGGAAGGCCAGTTGAGCCTGCATATGCAGTAAGGCCCCACAGACTGGTGAGTACAAACTGGATGCTAACATGAATATTCAGTAAAAACCGAACATAAACACAGATTATTTCCTCTCCAATAAGGAAATGTCATTAACTCTCCGTGACTGTCAATGTGTGTCAACCATGATGCTTGCCAACACATTCAACTCTCTGACAAAGCTAATCCCAAGAAATAATGAGGATGCACATATGAAAAATGTGATAAATACAATATGCAATATTTAGATGTGACAAGCTGAACCGCTAATATTTTTATATTCATATAAAATCTGAAGTTTTCACTAATGCTCTCTATGTCTTGGTGCAATTCTAACACCAGCAGTTGAATGGGAGGCAGTCTGCTCAGCACACTGCCCTATTTCCTTTGATGATAATGATAGGCGACCCCTGTTGGGGCTCTGCTGCACTGGTGCAGAGGACTCCTCCTCATTCTCTTTTCTTGGTGGGAATGAGATTAATGACAGAAGGGATGAGGAAAGGTCACTCAACTTGGCAGTGCCATGAAAGGGAGATCTAAGGGTGGCGGGCATATGTTCCACTTCCCTTTTTGTGTGTGATGGTACTTGCCAGTCTCTCTGAGGGGGCACCTTGCGGAAGGTACAGGTACCTTGCCCTTCTTGTCTAGCCACTGCTATATTGAGCCCATGGCAAGAACAGTGGAATGTAGGTCAGTGTGCATACTGATTGCATGTTGGTCTTGAATCTCTATGCAGTTCCTAGCATCTCCATAGAGGAAGCCATATGCTTAGTCTAGTTGCTCACTCATGAAGATACGTTAATTGATCACCTTTCAAGGCCATTTGATAATACCTGATGGTGCCACTTATCACAGCGGATTGGAACAGATCATTCATCAATTTTCTTTGAAGGATAAACGTTCATCCTAGGTTCTTTGATAGACCTCACTGTTGCTTACCTCTGCTGAGATCTCCATCCAGGCCAGGGAGGATGGTCTTATGTTGCCATCAGAGGGATAAAAGCACCTTCTACTGATCACCAATAGCCTGGAGGAGAATATGAGGCTAGGTGCCCATGGGGATAGTCTGGTCTCAGATACGTGTGGAGATGAAAAGTCTCCAATATGTTGGGTAGGGGGCAGGACAAAAAGGATAATAATGGAGAGGGGCAAGTTACGGAAGACAGGGTGATGATGATTAAGGGTTGCAACAAGAAATAGGACAAAGTTTTGAAAAGGTGGAGGTGGGAAAGAACATGCTGTCAGTATGCAGAATCTATCTAATGATTCAAGAGACTCCTTTATAGCATGTCCTTACTTGTTGCATTGTGAGCTAATGGTGGAATACCCCAATTGATACCTAACCTTGCCTCAAGATCACACATATTTTTTGTGCATGTTACTGGCATTTAAATTACAATTTTAATCACGTGGTCATTAGGAGAAGTGATGCCTAGTCCAAGTCTACTATCGGGAATAGTACATTACTGATTAAATACCATCACTAGACTCCAATGTTGCAACTTCTTTGGCCTTGTTTAAATAATCTTTTTGGTTATGGTCTATCTGACTCTACATGTTTTCCTTCTGCTGCTTCTAAGCTATAAATATGCCATGTTATATGCTGTTCTTTCTGCCATTTGCACTAAAATTAAGACACCTTGCATAGTTCTCACATCAAACACAACTGAGGACAATGATACATGAAATCTGTGAAAGCTTTGAAAGAAATAGAAACGTTTCAAAATTTTACTAAAACAGAAATCAGAGTTGGAGTATGCGACAAAAGAAAATGAAGTAGTAGAGTATTCAAACCTTCTAAACCATGAAAAAGTAAAACAAAGTGAAAGACAGTAAATATCTCTAGCAGTTTTTTTTTTCAAAATATACACTTCTGATAACCTCGCTAAAATGGCTCTAATTTTTTTTCATGTTAATTATATTGCTTGGCAGCCCTTACTTTTTGACGAGCGATCATCCAGTTTTTCATTGTTCCAACTAATAGGCCACCTAGCAGGATCTGGGTGGGATGATAGATGAGTAATGGAACAGAGATGAGGGATAAATGTTCATACCCTGAAAACACTATCTTCAACAATGGGATTCCTGTCAATAGAAAACAGATACAAAAATATGAGTTAAAAATTACAACTTTTTGCAATTATTTTGGCTCTTAATCCAAGAGAAAATGTTAGAGACAATCTCTCTTTGTTCCAGCCAAAGAAAGATTGATTGGACCATGAAAACGAGGGAAGCAATTTTCATTGATAGTAGGAACTGCAGGTGCTGGAGAATCTGAGATAACAAGGTGTAGAGCTGGATGAACACAGCAGTCCAAGCAGCATCAGAGGAGCAGGAAAGCTGACGTTTTGGGCCTAGACCCTTCTTCAGAAATGGGGGAGGGGAACGGTGTTCTGAAATAAGTAGGGAGAGGGGGGGAGGCGGATAGAAGATGGATAGAGGAGAAGATAGGTGGAGAGGAGACAGACAGGTCAAAGAGGTGGGGATGGAGCCAGTAAAGGTGAGTGTAGGTGGGGAGTTAGGGAGGGGATAGGTCAGTCCAGGGAGGACGGACAGGTCAAGGGGGCGGGATGAGGCTAGTAGGTAGGAGATGGGGGTGGGGCTTGAGGTGGGAGGAGGGGATAGGTGGGAGGAAGGACAGGTTAGGGAGGCGGGGACGAGCTGAGCTGGTTTTGGGATGCGGTAGGGGGAGGAGAGATTTTGAAGCTTGTGAAGTCCACATTGATACTATTAGGCTGCAGGGTTCCCAAGCGGAATATGAGGTGCTGTTCCTGCAACCTTCGGGTGGCATCATTGTGGCACTGCAGGAGGCCCAGGATGGGCATGTCGTCTGATGAATGGGAGGGGGAGTTGAAATGGTTTGCGACTGGGAGGTGCAGTTGTTTAGTGCGAACCGAGCGTAGGTGTTCCGCAAAGCGGTCCCCAAGCCTCCGCTTGGTTTCACCGATATAGAGGAGGCCACAACGGGAACAGCGGATACAGTATACCACATTAGCAGATGTGCAGGTGAACATCTGCTTGATGTGGAAAGTCTTCTTGGGGCCTGGGATGGGGTGAGGGGGCAGGTGTAGCACCTCAACAACTTCTCTTTCAATTCCTCCCACTTCCTACAGACAAAGGGGGTGGCCATGGGTATCCGCATGGGCCCAAGCTATGCCTGCCTCTTTGTAGGTTACGTGGAACAATCCCTCTTCCGAAGCTACACTGGCTGTAAACCCCACCTCTTCCTCCGTTACATTGATGACCATATCGGCGCCGCCTCGTGCTCCCACGAGGAGCTCGAACAGTTCATCCACTTCACTAACACCTTCCACCCCAATGTTAAGTTCACCTGGACCATCTCTGATACCTCTCTCTCCTTCCTGGACCTCTCTGTTTCCATCTCTGGCAACCACCTGGAAACCGATATCCATTTCAAGCCCACTGACTCCCACAGCTACCTAGAATACACCTCCTCCCACCCACCTTCCTGCAAAAATGCCATACCCTATTCCCAATTCCTTCGCCTCTGCCGCATCAGCTCCCAGGATGAGGCATTCCCATTCCCGAACATCTCAGATGTCCTCGTTTTTCCAAGGACCGCAACTCCCCCCTCTCAGTGGTCGAGAACGCCCTCGACCGTGTCTCCCGCATTTCCTGCAACTCATCCTTCACACACCCTCCCCGCAATAACAACCAAAAAAGAATCCCCCTCGTCCTCACGTACCACCCCACCAACCTCCGGATCCAACGCATCAACCTCTGACACTTCCGCCATCTGCAATCCGACCCCACCACCAAAGACATTTTTCCCTCCCCACCCTTATCTGCTTTCCAGAGGGACCACTCTCTCCGGGACTCCCTTGTCCACTCCACACTCTCCTCCAGCCCCACCATACCCGGCACTTTTCCCTGCAACCGCAGGAAGTGCTACACCTGCCCCTACACCTCACCCCTCACCCCCATCCCAGGCCCCAAGAAGACTTTCCACATCAAGCAGATGTTCATCTGCACATCTGCTTGATGTGGTATACTGTATCCGCTGTTCCCGTTGTGACCTCCTCTATATCGGTGAAACCAAGCGGAGGCTTGGGGACCGCTTTGCGGAACACCTACACTCGGTTTGCACTAAACAACTGCACCTCCCAGTCGCGAACCATCTCAACTCCCCCTCCCATTCCTCAGACGACATGACCATCCTAGGCCTCCTGCAGTGCCACAACGAAGCCACCCAAAGGTTGCAGGAACAGCACCTCATATTCCGCTTGGGAACTCTGCAACCCAATGGTATCAATCTGGACTTCACAAGCTTCAAAATCTCCCCTCTCCCTACCACATCCCAAAACCAGCCCAGCTTGTCCCTGCCTCCCTCGCCTGTCCTTCCTCCCACCTATCCCCTCCTCCCACCTCAAGCCGCACCCCAATCTCCTACCTACTAGCCTCATCCCGCCCCCTTGACCTGTCCGTCCTCCCTGGATTGACCTATCCCCTCCCTAACTCCCCACCTACACTCACCTTTACTGGCTCCATACCCGCCTTTTTATCTGTCTGTCTCCTCTCCGCCTATCTTCTACTCTATCTATCTTCCGTCCGCCTCCCCCTCTCTCCTTATTTATTTCAGAACCCCCTTCCCCTCCCCCATTTCTGAAGGAGGGTCTAGGCCCAAAACGTCAGCTTTCCTGCTCCTCTGATGCTGCTTGGCTTGCTGTGTTCATCCAGCTCTACACCTTGTTATCTAAGCAATTTTCATTGCCCTACTTGAGAGAGGGTAATACAAACAAAATGGTAGCACATCTCCTACTACACTTTTCCACTATGTCCACCTGCACCACTTGAGGGCAGCCTTGAAACTAGTGGCCAGAAAAAGACAAATTTAACTTTTATCCCTCGTTTTGAATCCACTGAATGAATGGCAGATGAAGATTCAAGACATGGGCATCAAGTAGCATAAATGAGATTGCAATTGTGCAGGTAAACAAATCATATCAAAGTGTAACACAATAATCACAAAATCATGCAAGTACCATGCTTCAAGAGCCTCACTAACCCTAATAAGATAAGGCCATATGATGACAACAGGATCTTGATGCGATAATAAATTACAAATTTGTCACTGTATATTGTACAAGCTCAATCCATTGCTATTTGGCACTGAAGAGTCTAAACTAGGCATCCACTCTGGGAGCAATCGCATTATCTGCCAAGACAGACAGATACAGTATAAATAGGAGTCCTTCAGTGAGCATTGCAGATAATTCAAAATGCTTTTTTTTAAAAAAGGTTTGCAAACAATTCTTTTGGGTCCAGAGCAACATTAAAGCCTTTCATAGTCATGGAAAAACTGCCTTCTCCCCTCCCATGTCTGAATCTCCAGACTCACCCCTGGGAATATTTGCTTTCTGTTAAACTTCTCTGAGCCAGCTAGGATTTGTGCTGAAACCACTAGATAACCTGCTCTGCCAATTGGTGAGCTGTTCCAAAAAGGATCAGCAGGGTGCTGATGGAATGCTCATAAGATCCTACCATAGAAATCGTGCTAGTGTCAGACTGTATCCATTGGGTGAAGAAAAAATCAGAGTTAACGTTTTAAGTCCAGTGACCCTTCCTCAGAACAGGTCACTGGACCCGAAACGTTAACTCTGATTTTTTTCTTCACAGATGGAGCCAGATCTGCTGAACTTTTTTGGCAACTTTGTTTTTGTTCCTGATTTACAGCATCTGCAGTTCTTTTGATTTGTATTCATTGGGTGTCCTCTGCTTAGTGGTCTGTTGAAACTTTATCGCAAGTTTTTAGTAAATAATTGCGCAGCTACTACAAACATCTTTAGGACTTTATGGGTGACCTTTCTAAGGCTATGACTTATTCAGAAATAATGCAAGTAACACAATGCTCTTTGATACAAGGCAGTTTCTTTTACTAACCGTTACAGTACGTAATACCATTGATTTACTGCGACAACTTCCAAAAATATTTAAAGGGTAAAATAAAATTTGATTTATTTAACTTTCATTTTCAAATTATAAATTGTACTACTTTTAAATACAGCATGTGCATATTTCTTGCTTGTAGATTATCCCTAGATTTAACTTTTATCCCTCATTTTGAATCCACTGAATGAATGGCAGATGAAGATTCAAGACATGGGCATCAAGTAGCATAAATGAGATTGCAATTGTGCAGGTAAACAAATATCAAAGTGTAACACAATAATCACAAAATCATGCAAGTACCATGCTTCAATCATTGAAAATTATAAAGCATATGCTAAAGTGAAATTTAAGATAATATACATGTTAGAACATAAGAACATAAGAACTAGGAGCAGGAGTAGTCCGTCTGGCCCTTCGAGCCTGCTCTGCCATTCAATAAGATCATGGCTGATCTTTTCGTGGACTCAGATCCACGTACCCACGTTCTCACCGTATCCCTTAATTCCTTTATTGTCCAAAAAAAATCTACCTTATCTTTAAAAACGTTTACTGAAGTAGCGTCAACTACTTAACTGGGCAAGGAATTCCATAGATTAACAATCCTCTGGGTGAAGAAGTTCCTTCTCAATTCAGTCCTAAATCTGCTCCCTCTAATCTTGAGGCTATGCCCTCTTGTCCTAGCTTCACCTGCCAGTGGAAACATCCTCTCTACTTCTATCTTATCTATTCCCCTCATAATTTTATATGTTTGTATAAGATCCCCCCTCAATCTTCTGAAAACACATGTTAAACACTATAGTGTTCTATTTCAACAGTAATGAATATATTTTAACATGTCATAACTCTGATACCATGGCACTTTCTTTAACAGAGCCTCGGGGGCTTTCATGATTACACATGACCAAGTAGGATAGTGCACTATCTATGCATTTACAAGGCCACAGAGCTGTCATACTTCAAATGTTTATGAAAGATTAATCAAATGTTTCAGAACTACAATACACTGTAAAGCAGGTAAGGTATGTACTTTAAATGGATTTTTCATTACTAATGTAATTTCTAGCAAGAGCATTTTTACCAGCAGACATGTACTGAGTGTGGACTGATATAGAGCACTTTCTCAGCACATTACTACCCAATACAAGCACTTGGGAAATCACTAATGCACGGCAAGT